AAATATTTTAGTCCAACGGATCTCCAAACCTCCCAGATGGTATGACTATGATCAAGAGAAAACAATTTTAGTTCATATTTACTATATTTTGGTCATTTATAATGATTTTCTTTCATATTCTGATTAATGACTTCACTAATGTGTTATTCTATAGATTATGTATTCAACGTGAATGTGAAATCCGTACCTTTGGCACCTATCTTCATCACAGTCGAAAAACAAATGGTAGTTATACTTTGATTATTTTTCAACAAATACATATACTAAAACAATTACAAATTAATCGAATCTTATTTCATTGTCAGGATGTGATCCATGTCCTACATGCGTATGCATTGAAATTGAAACTAGGATTAATCATACTTTCTGCTTTTGGATTTGTGCGTAAGGTCTGTTTACCTCTTATCACTCAGACAACTTATGACCAGGTGCAATTCCATTTTCGCATAAACAATACAGTATTTAATTTCACATATGTTGCTTCTCATAGGCTTTTTATTTATTTTTGTTTGTAACAAAGGAAAGCTATCAAATTATGTCATTATCGGGTAGAATTGTACCTCTCAAAATGGGAGAATTTGATGGAGGCATAAACCTTGTTATGTCGGATGTTCATGGTAAAACGATTGGAGGAATAGTACAACATCTTGTTGCTGAAACTGATGTTGAGGTGATTACTTTTATATTAATACATATATTTACGCAATGTGGTTCGATAATATTTTTGTTAACGAATTCTAATCTTGTCATGATTACAGGTAATTGTATGTCCATTCTACATGTCTCATCCATTTGAATTCGATCCTCCAATGATATTTGGGAATCCCTTTTTGCCAAGCTCTAGAGATCCAACCTCTAGCCTTCCAAACTCTAACGATTCAAGCTCTAGGAAAGCATGAGAAACAATGTCATAAAATATATATCTTATGAATTAAATAACAGCGTTTATGTCTCGCTTTTGTTAATCATCAGTTATATTATGTTGAACAAACTCTTTATGTTATAGCATAATTATAATTGCTGGTTATGATTATTAAGGATCTTTAATCTTCTTACAAATATTTAAATTCTGTTAGCATGCTATTTTAAAAGTCAAAAAAATATCTTTAGATTGATAGTTTGACAATTAGTAAAAATGAAAAATCCGTTGGAAAACCGTTATAAAAACTTTCAAAGCGCCAAATTAGTAAGAATTAAAAATTTGTTGGAAACCGTTATATAAACTTTCAAAGCGCCAAGTTAGTAAAATGAAAAATCCGTTAAAACTTTTATAAAAACTTTCAGAAAATGCCAAAAAAATTATTCAAGTGTTGCAGTTTGTGGATTAAAATATACAAATTTATTTAAATTTAAAAGTTATATTTCATAAATGTCGAATTTGAAAACTTTTAAGTAACAAAATGAATTTATATCCTGGTCAATGTAATAAATATACTTCATGTTTTCGTATGACAATCATAGGTCAATGGGAATCTGTTATTCTGTTATTTTATTTATCTTTATAGAAATTTTATTAAAGTTTAGTATTTAAGTAATAAATAAGTATATTGTCGATAACAAATACTTTTCTATTAGGAATAAATTATATACCATAAAAACACATTTGTTGACTAGGGAATAAAAAAATTAGCTTACTTTTTTCAAAAAAAAAAATTAGTAGAATTAGAAAACTGTTACTTTAAAAATCAATATGCATCCAAGAGTTTTGAGATTCGACAAGTCAAAACGAAATAAATAAAAATATGACTCACTGCATGAATTGATTGCTTGT